CATGGCTTCACTGAGTTACGCAAGCCCCTTCGCCACGACAAGGCAGTGATCCATGAAGGAAAACTAAGCCAGGGAGTCAAAATAACAAAGCAAAATACTTAAATACCTAAAGCAATTCTATCAATCAATCAATCAATCAATCAGCTTATTTAAGGATGATAGATAGATGCATACATACATGACAGATCGCTGAAATTATATAATTTTCTTCAATTTTCCAAGGTTGTGATTCAATTTTTTAAAAGCCCTGCTCCATTCTGATTCCAGCTCTGCTCCACCTCCTGCAATCCTGGTTCCATCTCAGTTCTGCACACAGCTAATAATCTGACCAACTCTGCTCTACATCTAAGCCTTGAATTGGAGTTCTGGCTTTATCTACTGCAGTCCATGAATGCTTATACTAATGTGTGTGTGTGTGTGTGTGTGTGTGTGTATAAGAGTGTGTGTATACATTTATATCTAATATAAAAAGCCTTCATAATTTATAATCTTAATTTATAATCTTAAAATGCCAAACAACTTTTATTATTTATTTATTTAATTAATTAATTAATTAATCAATTAATTTGTATGGCCACCCATCTCACCAGGTGACTCTGGGAGGTAAACAAAATTTAGAAAATGAAAACAATTAAAATGATACAAACATTAAAATACATCGCAGCCAAGAATAAAGCACCCATTATAATTACTAAATTAAATTATTACTCACAAAACACATCCTATTGTCAATATACAAGACTAATAAACTCAAAACTGCTAAAATACATCCTATTGTCAATATACAGAATAAGCTCAAAACTGTTACCACGGGGACCAGTTGTGAAACCAGATCAGCAAATTCTAAAATTCTCCAGACAATAAAATGCATTTTTAAATGCAGTTTTATTTGTGCATTAAATACAGTTCATTGTATCTCCTATTTTATGCTAACTGAAAATCAACCACAAACTCAGAATTCTTTAAATTTATAAACTGGTAGCAATACAGACGACAGAGAATTCTGAGTGTAATATAGGAATTAATATAACTGTCATAGTACATGACAACAGAAATTGGAATTAAGCATCAGTCTTCCATACATATCAAACAGGTCTTTGCTTATTTGAATTAGAGTTGAACCCTAAAAATATTCATCCTCTTACAGCATATCCTCACACTTCGAGAGATTGCATTCTCAATAGAAAGAAAACCATGAAGCTATGACAGGAACTGAAAGAGCAGTGAAAAATAATAGGCATTTGAGAGATTTCAGAGATTATTTTGGTCCCTCAAAAATGGTCCCCCATTCTAATAAAAAGGTTCGCTTTGCTCAACATTTAACACAACTTTAGTTTAAAATATCTAACATCATGTGACTTTCCTGAGATGCCCTTTCCCTGTCTAGTATGTTTCACAGTGGTAGATAAATAATAAATTCAGTTCTGTCCAGACTAATGACCAGATCTGCTTAAATTGACTTTTTATAATGTGATAATGTGATATCACAATTTGTGATAATATCACATTATGCAATATGAAAGGATGGGGAAAAAGATATAGAACCATTAAAACTATTTTCTTGTTTTATCATAATTTTTATTAGAAAATGTTTAAACAGATAAAAGATAAACATAGGAAAAATATAGAAAAGGAAATCAAGAAAAAGATAACAGATAAAGTACATCTACTGCAAAACTATTTTCTTCTAACACAGAATATCTACGTACACTTCGGTGGTTTACAGATTTACATAAAAAGAGAATATATATACAATACCTCTTATCAGAAAATGTCTCGTGCAATATTCCTGTGTTTTTTATATCATCCATGTCTTTATATCTTTTGCTGATTTTACTTATTAACATTTCTGCTGCTTCAATCATGTCTCTTGATTTTGCTTTCTGAAAAAAAAATGAAAAAATTAAATACTGTGGAGTCCTTAGTGCTCTCTGAGCTTGGTTGTTTGCTTGCAAACATTTCACTACCAAACTAGGTAACATCATCAAGTACAAGTGAGTGTGGGGTTTTCTCCCTGTTTATATGCAGTAGCTTGCCCTGCCAGTTTTGGTGGGGTTGTGGTTTTCTCCTTGGTAGTTCCTTGATTAGGATATTATTTTCTGCTTGGCTGTCTGGGGTTAATCCCTGCTTATCTGGGTGTAGGCTGCTGGATAGCATAGGTTCTAGTCTTTTTGTTTCCTTCTTAGCTTTTTTATTGTCCCTTTTGAATGGTGTGTAAATGTGGTTTATCTCTGTGTCTACTGATGGCTGATTTGTCTGAATGCCAAGCTTCCAGGAATTCGCTAGTGTTTTTGGATTTAGCTTAGTCTAGGATGCTCAGTTTCCCAGTTGAAACTATGGTTGAGTCTGTCCATGTGTTGTGGGATTAAGGAGGCTTCATTTTGTCTTCTGGCTGCTAGTTGGTGTTCAGCGATGCACTCTGCTTGTTTTCTGCCTGTTTGTCCAACACAGTGGCTGTTACAGTCCTTACACTGTATATTGTAGATGACTACTGAAAATTAAATACTGCAAGGAAACTGATTGGCATAGAATATATGTTCGAAAAATATTTTTTTCCCAGAATTCAAAGCAATTGAATGCATCCTCCCCTCAAAGAAACTGGTAGGAAACCATAATGAAAACTGTTGAAATGTGCATAAAACATTCAAATCACATTGCAATTATTACACTGATTTCAATGAAAAATTTAGCCACAGCTTTAGATAGCTGTCATTCAAGTGTCAGAGAAGTGTGCATTCCTGCATCAAAACAGTTTAGGTGGCTGAACTAAAAAGTTTATATTTAACAGAAGCTCCAAAAATGATTCAGCTGCAGGTAAACACATCCCTTTCAGAATTATACTCATTGTCTCTTGCTTTTTAGTTCTATATTTGATACTACTTTACTGTTGATAACTGCCTATATTTATGAGTACAACAGATCCGATACAATGAAAATTAATGGTCTGCAGCAAAAGAACTGATTTCCTCCAAATCTATATGTCAAATGGCTTTCTCCTCCCACTCCTTTAGCCCTATTTCTTCTTAGTTAACAAGTAATATTGCTATGCAGCAACAGAAATCACTACTGACCAAATTCCTCTTCTTCAGTTGTATGGTAGTTTCTATTTGTTTATCCTATAACAGTGTTTTTCCAACCTCCTTTTCTTGTCTTGCCAACATACAGATTCTCCTGTGACTATGTGAAGTTTCAGAACTACATCTTTTTCCTACTTCCACTTTTTTTCAGTACCATGGGCTGAATCACACGTCATGCTAAACCAAATTATAGTACTTTGGTTTTGACTTTGTGATGTGTGAACTCAGCTACTAAGCTATGATATGTAACCTAGTCTGGTGAGTTAATCTAGCCTTTGCTACTTGTTAACATGCCAAAGATAAAACAAAAGTTTAGTTCAATGTATGATCCCAGCCCATATGTCAGCAGATAGCATTGTTTCTAAGGTCATCGCCTTCAGCCAACTTCTCAGCTTCCCTAGATTTTTTCCAATGGCATCTCAATTTGGACTCTATGGCAATCAAGGTGATAGAAAATTCCAGCAACTTCAAGAGTATCTTCATGACAAGGTTTCTTCCTACAGTTGTGAAGAGAGAAGTCCACTGTCTCCTATGAAACCTGAATTGATCTTTTATGCTATTTTGCGCTAATATAAATTAATTAATGAGAAAATGTTGATCTGAATCAGGGTTTACCTAATGTATGAATAATATGCCAAACATTTAATAAACTAAAAGCAGTTAATATTTTGATTTACAACTAGAAAAGCAATGCCAGAGCTGTTTTACCTTTTCATACTTTATTTGATCAGTTTTCTTATTAGCAGTCCCTTTTCCAGGAGAAGATACATTCAAGCTAATATCATTCTCATTAATTTTAGGGATTGATTTTGAGTGCCTTGAATTTACTAGAGAATTATTATTCTTTCTGGTAGCAGGAAGCGATATTTCAGATGTATTGGAAACACTCTTTCTGCTTTTACTTTTTGATATTTTCTCATCCAAATTCTTAAAACTGGTTTGTGAATCTGCACTGTTTATCTTGGCATTTTCTGCTGGTATTTTAGTGGTTTCGCTGTGTTGCTCCTCTATGACTTCTCCACTGCAACGTTGTTTATTTCTTAGCTCTGAAGAAGTCATTCCAAATATTGAAGAAAAAGCTTTTTGCTTAGCAGCTCTATCACTTAGATTAGGAGCTAATAGAAAACAAGAACAAAGTTTTAAATTAAATAAAGTGTTATAAGTTATCACACTTATCCAAAAGGAAGTCAGCTCTGAATTTCAAGTTTTTTACAATGTACAGATTCTCCAGCTTGTCAACTTAGGGCTGCCAACTCCAGGTAAAATCCTGGAGATTTCCCACAACCCCAGTATGTTTGTACGTATTTCATACTTTTATAGTACATGTAGCATATATGTGTATATATATAGATATTGGTTTGAAGCCACATTCTAAAAAGGACAGTTCAAGGACAAATTAATAAATTGATATTAGTTGAATTAATAATTACTGCTTAAAATTAATTGCCTGTAAAATAAGGCATCCACTCACTAAAATTAATCGATCCCCTATCTGCACACCACTGCGTCTCTCATTCACAAGCCATTCTTTCTTTTTGGAGGGAGGAGAAAGAGGAGAAGGAGATGATGGGCTAGGAAAGGGAAATCCAGATTCTGGCCTACCCTCAGCTATGGGTAAATGTGAACCAGTCATTCCCTCTCGGTCCAACCTACCTCACAGGGATGTTATGGGGGAAAACAGATCTTGTACTGCACTTAGATATAAGTGCATACCAAATAAAAATAGTAAACGCTAAGAAAAAGAGGAAAACAAGATGTGGATGGAATGAGGGGAAGGACAGAAAAGTTGAAGTGGGGAACAGAACTAGATGGAGAAGAGGGGATGGAGATAAGACAAGGAAAAGATAAAAGGGCAATAAAGGGAAAGGAGGAGAAAGGAGAGAAGCCTTGTTCACAGTTCAAAGAAAGAAGTAAAACTCTCCCACTTGAGCAGCTGAGATGAATTATTCTCTTCCCAAATCATGCTGGTGTTATAACTTTGATGCTGAAAGCAGGGCTATTTTTTAAGATTAAATATCCCCAGACTGACTTGGAGGAGAGGGGCTCATCTTCTCTGCTTAAGTGTTGACTTTTAACTTTTTTTGTAATACCTGAAAAGGCCTAAAGTGTTTGTCTTCTACATGTAGAAGGTGAGTCTCAGTAGTGAGGCAAGAGAAAGGGAGAGGGAGAAGCATGGACAATCATGGACACCACACCATACTTCTAGAATGCTCACTGACAATGAGACAAAAGTGGCTTCCCCTTTCAACAATATCAGCTTTTCTCAAATATCTGCCTCTTTTCTGCTATTAGAAGATAACCAACACACACACACACACACACACACTCACTCAGATTAAAGGTAACTATTCTCAGAAAAAATACCATCTTTCTTTGGATAAATATGAAAAAAACCTAATGTAACTTTGATATTACTTTTTATATAAATAAAGACTTAACCTTGATGTATTATACTTTCTGATGCAGTAATCTTCTGACATTGAGTTATTATTGTTTCAGGTATCCAGCACTTCAGGGGTTTTTTAGTTTTAATTTCAGCCACAGAACTGTCTGAAAGGCCAGGTAATCTAAAAAAACACACTTATTTTAGCAACTTTTTAGTATGTTTACAATTTCACTTATATGATTATTCCAAATATAAAATGCATTCGGTTTAAGCAAAGTAGCCCAAATAGTACAATTACTTGCATATATCTATCCAAAATATATTTCCCTATACAAAGGCACTGGGGTTAATCACAATTTTCCCAATGTTTACTGCAATGCTAATTCACATTTCTTGATATTTACTTTTCTTGTTTTTTAAAAACTCAAAGTTTTCACTATACTGAATACTGAGCTACTGTTTATCATCTTTCTGCATTCAAATTGCTGACTAATCAGCTTAATACTGATCTGTGCAATGCTGGTTCCCTGCATTTTGCAAATGTTCTCAAAGTCAGCCTTCCTTACAACTACCCCAGTAGTATGCTATCAAGAGTAATGCTTTTTGTAAATCATCTGACAAATGAATAGAGATACATGTGGACAAATACCTGGACACTGTGTATATGTTATGGGAGAAAAGGGAAGCTAGAATTTTTTTGTTTGTTTGGAGGAAGTGAAAAAGGTTGCTTGTACTTCTCAGTGCCCTTGAAGTTGGAGAGGTAGTGAACTTGACACTTTGCAGGTTTGGAGACAGTCATTACTGACTGGCTTGCGTTCTTGGTGCTCAGCTATTGCCTAGCTTGGGCCGAGCAATGATTGGCTGAAGGTGCTGTCTACAGGCTCTATGCGTGCAAGGGTAAAGATAACCATACCAAACAAATTTTAAACTTTCAGGTAGTGAAAATAATGAAGGTAAAAACTGAACTGGATGTAAAATGCATTGAGAATAATTTATGGATAGAATGAATGGTAGTGTGGTAGAGCTCTTAAACTAAATTCATGGAAATAGGAAAAATAGGTTTAAAAGGCATATAGTAAAGCTAATAACCTAAGTAGGCAGCATTTGGAGCTTTGAACTTTGCCATCATGGAATGGCAGAACTAAAACGAAAGAAAGGAATATTCTTCCACCGCATACCTCTAACTTCAGGAATTAAGGAATGAAACTACCCATTCAAGGCTAAGCTACGTTGCAGGACAATCATAGATATACAATGTGTACCTAGGAATACTGCAAATACATATTAATGCTATAATCATATCCTTGTTTCTATCATTCACTGTGGTCCTTCCACTGCTGGTTTGAACAGATTTGATTAAGTATAAGATTCACTAATGTTATAGGGAAGCAAATGACCATAATGCAGTGAATAAGTTTTATGGATGCAACACAGAATTTCCCATGGTCCTTAGTAAAGTACAGATATACAGGCTTTGCATGCATAAGGACCTATGTTCAGTCCTTGGTGTTTCCAGTTAAAAAAGGATTTACATTGATGGGAAACTCTTGAGAACCAGTAGCAATGAGAGCAGGTAGTATTGGGCTAGATAGGCCAACACTTTGTCAAAGTACAAGTGATCTGCATCTGTTACACGGTCAACAATGGAAAAATATTCACTGAAGATTTCCTTAAACAGCTCATAATCAGACTTAGAAGCAAATGTTAGTATTGTATTATACTGGACAAAACCATGATGCTTGCAATATATCCCTTGGATGGAATGATTATGTGGCCCACAGGTGGGCAGCCTTTTTTTTTTTGGAGTAAGGGCTGCATTCAGAGCTGGGATATCTGTAGGGGACTACACCTGTCAAAGGGAATGAGACAGAAGTAACAAATCAAAGTGGTCTCCCTTTTATTTCTCTCTTTCATTTCTACTACCTCTTTCTGTTTCTCTTTCCCTCACTCACATTCACTTGATAACAGCCAATTCACAATGTTGGCTAAAAAACATATTTTTCTTTTGCAGGACTTACAATCTCACAGCAACACCACCACCACCAAATGACTGGCATAACCAAACATATATTTGTGAACTATTGTCTGAACATTCACAACCCCAACAGCAACAACAGCTATCTTGTTGTTCTCCATAGCCATAGGGGAGGGGAGACATTTAAAGGGGGAGAGATGAGAAAGATTATTTAGAGCTATGAACATCAGCAAAGAGATTAAAAGTTATAGTTTCTGTGCTAAATCAGCAAGCAAAGGGGGGCAGTCTTGGAGACTATGTGCCCTGGCAAAAAGCCTTAAAAGTTACATCTCATCTGCAGACTACAGATTGCCTACATGTGATGTGTTGTTTTCTACATAAAATTGAGACCATTTGGATCAGTAATAGACAATTATTAGAAGCTGTTTATGTCTAGGCAAACCAGGACTATATATTAATTAGATATAAATATTTACATTCAATAGGTGTCAAAATTTTGTTTAGTAAGTGAGCTCATATGAATTTTCCTATTACCACGTTCACCATGATAAAATTAAAGTAATTACAGAATTTTGAAGTATTTTCCACTAAAAGGTTTTAAATATAAAGAAAGGAGGGTTCTGCTGTTACCTATAAATCAGTGTTTTCCTAATTCTGGCACAACAGACTAACACTAGTTTTATTCTTAACTGTGGGCCAATAAAAAGACAAAATCAAGCCTTTGTGCCTGGAGAAAAGACTGTGGTTCTTCTGCTGCATGAAAACATGACTACAGGATTAGATTATTAACATTAGATTACTGAAAAAAATACTTGGAGAAACTTTATTAGAAAACAGCTAAAATGTTTGTAATGGATAGCTATATAAATCATATAAATAATAATAATAAAAAAATAGACAACGTCTGCCACACAACAGCCCACAACACCCCAGACTTAACAATTGTTGATAAGAAAGACAAAAAAGTCTGGATAGTGGA